CACATACAACATGAAGATAAAATGCTATAGGGAGGGGCAGGGCAGGAGAAAAGAAGATAAGCATTATAGAAGGCATAAGCTCAAAGCATATTATATGTTAGGATGAAGTGTCCTTATGAAATCATGTACTATGTGTAATGAATATCCAACAGCTTAATGTTTATAAATATTTCCAATAATATAACTTTTGATTTATTCCTATTTATATTTATTATAACTGTGTTTGTATTGCAATAGTCTACATATTAGAGGATAATAGCTTTTATCCTTCTGGGGTTTATAGTTGCCATGTTCATGGCAGCACTCAAGTGAGGCATTACCACAAACCCAACTAAAGTGGCTAAATCTTTCTGCCTCTGGAAAGCAAATATCCACACTCCAAGGCTAGGAGGATGAGGCAGATGACTTAGTAGCTTCGATTCTGAAGCCCTACCCAGTTTCACCTCCTCTTGGGTGTGTCTCTCATTTGACTTTAAAAGGCCTGCGGCACCAAGTTGGTTGCCCAGAGGTTTATTTTCAGTATGTGAAAATAAACTACCCTTGTGTGAACCAAGATGTCCCTGAATGCTTTCCCTTGGCATAACTGAAACTTGAGCAGAAAGAGAAAAGTCTTGACCAAACATTAAGCAAACCTCAAACCAGATCATATAGAAAGCATAAGCAAAATCTGAATAAATCACATGTTTGTGATGCTTCACAGCTGGATTTTATAGACCTTATGAAAGAATGTGTACATGGGGGGGTGGTGGTGGTGTGTGTGTGTGGGGTGTGTGTGTGTGTGTGCATGAGTGTGTGTGTGTGTGTACATGAGTGTGTGTGTGTGTGTGCATGAGTGTGTGTGCATGAGTATGTGTGTGTGTACATGAGTGTGTGTGTATGGTGTGTGTGTGGTGTGTGTGTGTGTGTGCATGAGTGTGTGTGCATGAGTGTGTGCGTGTGCATGAGTATGTGTGTGTGCATGAGTATGTGTGTGTGTACATAAGTGTGTGTATGGTGTGTGTGGTGTGTGTGTGTGTGTGTGAGTGTGTGTGTGCATGAGTATGTGTGTGTGTACATGAGTGTGTGTGTATGGTGTGTGTGTGGTGTGTGTGTGTGTGTGCATGTGTGTGTGTGCATGGTGTGTGTATGGTGTGTGTGGTTGTGTGTGTGCATGAGTGTGTGTGTATATGTGCATGAGTGTGTGTGTGTGTGTGTGTGTGTGTGTGTGCATGAGTATGAGTGTGTATGTGTGTGGTAGTGGTGGGGTATGTGTGTGTGTGCTTGAGTGTATGTGTGTATGGTGTGTGTGCAAAAGTGTGTGTATATGTGCATGGTAGTTGTGGTGGTGGTGGTGGTGGTGTGTGTGTGTGCGTGCGTGCGTGCGTGCATGTGTGTGTGTGTGTGTGTGTGTGTGTGTGTGTGTGTTTGCATGAGTGTCTGTGTGTATGTGTGTGGTGGTGGTGGTGGTGGTGTGTGTGTATGTGTGTGTGGCTCATCCTATTTAATTTTGCTTTTCATTGGTGCCTAATCTATTCTGGACTTTTTTCCATCAAGTTGTGATTGTGAGTACAGAAAGAAGTCCTGTCAGGCTCTGCTCCGACTGCCTGTGAGGGGATAGGATGCCTGCTGTTTAACGGGACAGAGCTGCCAAAATCTTGACGGCTTGGCACCTTGAAAGAGGCAACAACGCACATTGTTTATTTCAACATTCCTAAACTGTACATATGCTCTCTCGATTCAGAGTTGGGATCATCAGGTTTCTCCTCTCCTACCCCCTCAGCCATTTTTGGTCTGCTTCTTTTATACTGCTATGAACAGTAGAAAGATTACATTGAGAATGCTTTTCTAGGTTTCCTGAGTTCTTTCAAGGGTTGCCTCCTGGTTTTCCCGCACCATCTTATTTGGGCCAGTGGATTAATTAGTGACTAGGACAACACTTCTGTCAGACGATCAGGATTCATCATGGGTCTGCCTCCAGTCACACTCAGTACCTAGGTACTGCAGTCACAGCAGGTTCTGCTTGGGCCACTTACCCAAATGCACAGTGAAAGGGATGAGTAGTGGAGAAAGCAGAGAGGGGATTTATTCAACATGCTACATTAAGAAAAATATGAATGAAATAGTCCAGGGATCTCGGGTCTGTCTTTGGGCCACTGGCAAAACAGTTAAACACAAATAGAATAAAGAGGTTTGCATTCCATAGCAGCCCTGGTTAAGAATGAGAACTCCTGAAAAGAGGCTGTGTCGACAGAGACTGACTGATTAGAATCTCAGGCCTGTGGAGAGATTGGAATGTTACAGCTACAGGGGCTAATTACCTTATCGTGAGCTAGTCTAGCCCCTAGAGCGTCCATTCCTTGCCCGCCTCTGCGTCTAGAGTAACATCTTCTAACTGACAGATAGAAACCTTTTGGAATCTACCAATTTAGCAAACCACTCAATAGCTTCTATAAACCCCAAAGCTAAGACAGCTTTTGCATAGGAATCTAGAATGTGGGGTTACTGAAGTCTGTATTCTTGGGCTATGGTCATTCAGAATGGCTCCAGAACAAACTATCTCCCATTCTTTAAATTGAGAGCTGTGGTTTTTATGTCAACATGGTCAAGATGTAGTATTGCTGCTGATCAATGACCAGTGATTATCTTCTCAAATCTGGTCCTGCAGCCTGGTCCCATAGGTTGTTTTTTAGTCTATTTTACTATTTTTTAATCTTCCTGACAATTTTATACATGCTTATATTTTGATCATATTCACCTGCTATCCTTCTCCTCCTCCTACTGAGTACTTTATTCCCGAGTAGTCTCCCTTCTCCTTTCATTCTCTCTCTCTCTCTCTCTGTGTGTGTGTGTGTGTGTGTCTATGTGTGTGTGTGCGAGAGACAGAGACAGAGACAGAGACCTACAGACAGACAGACAGACAGAGACAGACAGAGGGGATTGGAATTTTGAATTTTGATTTGGATTGCTTGTGTGAACATGGGTGAGAAACTTTTTACTAGAGCAGTGCCTACACCAGCAAACACTACTTGCCAAAAACTACCCAGGGAAGAATAGAACTTCATTAACTCCTCCCCATGATAGATAGACTCCTGTTTTTCTTTATTATTATTATTATTATTATTATTATTATTATTATATTGTTTGAAAATCCCGTATGTGCATAGAAAGTATTTTGACCAAATCCATCCCCCATTCCCCTCTTCTATAATTTCTCCCCTGGGCCCCAACAATGCGTCCTCCTCAATTTCATGTGCCCACTGAACCAACTTAACACTGCCTTTATGTTCACAGGTATAGGAGCATCTGCTACGGGTGGGTAGCCTCTCATGAGGCTGAATGCCTGAAGAACACTGACTCTCCTCCCAGTAGCCAATAATAGTTCCTCAGCTCCAGGTGACACTTCATGAGCCCCTCCCTCCCATCCATGCAGGGATTTTGTGTGGCTTGATCTTGAGGAGGTCTTAAGCATGCAGTCACAGCCTCTGTGAGTTCATGAGCTCGACGTCACTAAAATGCTGGAATCTTGAGAACCCCGATCTTGAGCAAGCTTTGTGCAAGTAACCACATGAATACGATGGCCCTGTAACACCCAGAAGACTGCATCCTAATACACTTCTCCCCATCTTCTGGCTCTTACAATCTCTCTGGTCTTTTCTCTATGGTGTTCTCTTAGTCTCTGAATGGATTATAGAGATGTCCTATTGAATGCTGAATGCTCCAACAGTTACTTATTCTCAACACCCTTAGCAGTTCTAAACCCCTGCAGTTATTAGTATTCAATGTAAAAATAAGACTCTGACCAACTCTACAAGTAACACTAATCTTTGGGCATAAACAAAAATATTAGAAAGTAGTTTGATGGAAATAACATGTCCTCTTAGCAAAATAGCAGTTGGTTTTCTAGTTTTACCACTAGCACCTATGGCTTCTCTATCCATGGGCTTTTGACTGGGCTTCCAGGCATGAATTCCTTCCTGTGAAGTAATGACCTATATATAATCCAAAAGTTGTTACCTATAGAACAGCCATGACACTTGTGGGGGACCAAATAATTCTGTTATGGAATATTTTGGGGCCCATCCTCTGGCTCCTGTAAACTTGGAGCACTGGAAAGCTCCGGCTCACCATTGTATTGTTAATTGCCAGTAGGGCTACTATTGTTTACCATGGCCTCAGGGTAATATGCCTCCTAATTTGCATCTCTGTGGCTTAAGCTTCGAGTAGGCCCATGCCTGGGCTGAGGACTCTGCCTACATGACCAAGAGTTGTTTAGGTAATGCTTGAATCAATAGAATCACTTGATATTAGCTATATACATCATAATAAATGTTTCCTGATGCTGTCCCTGCCCTTGGAGGACTATTTAAATAGACTTCTCAATAAACCGTGGCTGCTCGGCTTCAGCTGGGAGCCCTCCTGAGATGATATGGTGTTTCCTGTCTCATCATTAGTGTCCGTTGCATAATTAAACTTCCCTAGTCCACACACCTCCACTCAGAATCGGACTTGGGACTGTACGGCTGGCTCTGTCCACAGTCCTGAAGACAGCGGTCCCGAACAGCCGCTATTATGCATGTTGGCATGTCTTGCCAGGAATTTAAGTTGTATAACAGTATACAACTGGGCAAGCATGTTTATGCCTTTTCTACCCTGCAGGTTAGATATTATTACCTTCTGGTACTCGAAAGCTAGCCACCAGGAAGGAAGCTTCCAGCTTGATTTCTCTCTGCAGCCAAAATATCTTCAAGAATGGGTTTAACTACCTCCTTTCTGGTTTTGGTGGACAACCTAGAGCATGTTAATAGCCTACATGGTTCTGGGGGCCTCAGGACACTCATCAACACCTTGAAAGACATCACATCTCTGGGCCTCCAATTTTTGTTTCATTGCCTATATATTCTTGAATCAGCATTATCTTCCTACACAGAGGTTTAGGGTTTATCTCATAAACCTCCTCTAAAATCCAAGCACATTGTTTAACTAAACTTTACAGTTTCTGTATTATATCAAGAAGCCAATTGATGTAATACAGAATAAGAGAAGAAATTGGGGACTGTCTTTGTCTTTTCTTGGCTCTTTCTCTCAGGGTGTACACCACCTCATAATTGTTTTTTTTCCATGGTTGCCTTTCCTGGTATGCATACAGACACAAGCAAACATTTCTCTGCTAACACTTATGTTTGAGTCCCTCACAGCCAATGAAGACCCACCTGATAGCAATCCCTGAACACTCTGGAAGGAAAATGGACCACACCTCCTCTGCTACTCTGGATCCCACTCTGTCCGTTTCAACTGACACTCCGGCCAGGGCTTCCGGTACTGACTTCAATCAAGTTGAGGACTTCAACCTACATCTTCAATTAAGCAAATCCCATCTAACATGGACTGAATATAATTCATTCGAGACTTTCGCTATACTAACATTTTCTTCCTACAGGACCCCACAAGGCTATTGCCGTCCCATTTCAGCAGGAAGTAACTTGGAGAATGCTAGGCCCCCATCCCCCATTATTGTCACTAAGGGTAATGTACACCTAGTCAGGGATAGTTTCCTATTGTTCATGGTTGGAATTGGAAGGTGTTCAGGCTTAGACACCTCTTTCAGATGACTTTAAGCTTTAGTTATATAGACATAGTTAGGATGTGACATAAGCAGATTATTGTATCTTCTTATATTTCACCTTTATGATTGTTAATTTTGGATACTTCACACTGTTAAGTTTTAATTCTCTTTTAGACTAAAAGGGGAATTGTAGGGAGACAAAGTACCATGCCTCCTAAGGGTTGGCTCCAGGTGTGCCCAACCACACAGGGTGTGGTCAAGGTGATGTCAGGGTGACGTGAGAAAGGTTTAAAGGGATAGCCAAGGCATATGGTAGCTCTCTTTTCTCTGCTGCTTCGGCTCGCTCTGGTTTCCTGTCAGTTAGCATTTACTTATTAAAGATATCCTGACCATTACAGGCTATGTATTAGTTATTCACCATAATAGAGGACCTCTGTCCAAATCCTTCTACAGTTACATTTTTTTTACATTAACTTACAAAGTAGCTTTTCCTATATCCTTAGTTTGGTTAATGTTTCCATTACTCCTACTCTGTTCTAGCCCCTGCCCCTACTCCATTGAAATTATTCTACTTCCAATATCCTCTTCCTCTACTTTATGTCTCAGGGGCTCGAATACACACAGCACCTCTTTTCCCCATCCTGGTTCCATTTTTCACTGTACTGCCCTTACAGATCTCTACTCCAGCTTAAGACCAGAAATCTACACATTTGATGCCAGGATCTGGAAACAATAAGAAACAGACAGCATTTGTTTTTCCAAGCCCAGGTTAACTTATTTATTGTAGTACTTCCAAGTTCATTCCATTTTCCTGCAAATTACATAATTTCATTCTCCTTTACACTTGACTGGAAATCCATGTATACACGCATCATAAATTGTCATCCATTAGTCCCTGTATTGATGAGGGGACCAGTTTGGTCCGAATGAGATAATGATGCCTGTTCTAGGGCACAGCCTTGCTCTCACGAGGAATTATCCTCATCTGTATGTTGCAGTGTTATCTGGTGAGGTTTTGGTCTTCTTGTAATTTAAGGTGACTCAAGAGAGGAGGTTAAAGGCAACAATGTGTCTCTCTGCTTAGAGCCAAAGTACAGGAGACACCCAGTAAAGGCTGACAGGGAGGCCAGGTTTTCATCTCCCTTTAGCTGTCTCATAGGCCCAAGACAGGAGTGCAATGCATCTTAGCAAAATCAGCTTCTAACTTCCTGTTTCACCATCAATGGGCAACATTCAGAAGAGTCCCATGTAGGATGACCACAGATCTCAGATTCCAACCCTGCTCCAAATTCATGTTTTTGATAGTTATTATGCAACGATTAATCAGCATCTACTTACTGATTGTGGGGTGTACTACGGGATGCCCTCACTCCCTCTCCAGAACCTCCTTCTATTACATTACTGCTATGAGAGCCAAACACTTTGCATTACAGTTTTCTACATATGGCTTCAGGCAAAACCGTGTCTTACAGAACTGCCATTCTTGCCAGGAAAATATAAAATCCAATTAAAAATCACTTGGTTCCAGAAGGCAGACATGTAAGTAAAACATGAAAGGGGTTAGGTCTGATTTATATTTGTCTAAGTTTATGGTCATTTTAAAAATGAGAACATGGAAGTATTAAAATTACACTCTAGAGAATTTGTTTCAGGATTGGTAAACGGCAAAGCACACAATCAGGGTCCATTTTCAATGAATAAATTCATCCACAGGAATTCCAGTCTGTCTTCTACAAACACATAGGTGGCGCTGGGCAGGAAAGCCAACATTCAGAGTCAACAGCTGTGCACACATGTTCTGCACAATTTATTATTCTGTACAGTAAATGGCTGGCCCATAACTCACAAGCTGAAAGTTAATGAGAATATCTGTCCCTAATACCCATAAGAAAGATAAGGACTGGTATAATGTGGTTTGTCCAGTACTTCTGAGCCTTCCAAGGGCAGGAGGGAAGGCCCCTGACAGCCAAATGCAACAAGAAATATTGCACTGACCTACAGGCTTCTTCCTCTCCCATCAAACCAACCCATGTGTAGTAGCATCAGAGAACACTTCATTCTCAATAACCACTCTCAAATAACTAGATCCTTTTTAATTGCTGGCATAATTAACTTAATGAAGTTACTGTGTAGCTCCAAATAAGAAAGGACTAGGGTGGAGTAGTAATTTATTTCTTTCCAGGGAAAACTAGAATACACATGGCCCATTCACACACACACACACACACACACACACACACACACACACACAAGGGAGGGAGGAGAGTAAGACAAAAATTAAACAGAGACAAGCCCCCCCCCCAAGACTAATTGTCTATGTGGTCATCTGCTGTTATCACTAACCTTTAGAAAGTAAATATATGCTGGGGATTTCCTCAGAGGAATAATAAATATTAATAATGACCAATTGATTAGGGATCTTAAACAAACCTAAAACAACGTGTCAGCAATCCTCTGGTTCTGGTATGAACAGAACGGATGCCTGCATTAAAGGCTTCTCTTTTGTTTGGGGTTTTTAAGCGAGGGATGTGCTCAATGGTCTGTCTAATGGCTCTCTAACTCTCTCTGCTATTTCTGTGAAGGCAGCTAAGATGTCTTGTAAAGAAAATAAGTGTTACCATCCTATGCTGAAACAATCTTCCCAAGTCCCATGCCTCACGCCTTAAATAAAAGTGGAGTGTGTGTGTGTGTGTGTGTGTGTGTGTGTGTGTGTGTGTTGTGTTTTGGTTTGGGTACCTGCAAGTGGGTGTATCTTAAGGCAGCCCTAAGCCAGGGCATGGTCAGGGACAGCAGCAATAGCATTTCCGAATTTCTACCTTGTAATCTACTCCATTTCTGGTATAGAGTTCCCCAAATTACACTATATTAACTAGGGAGGACAGCTCAGTACTCTGCTCTGGATGTCCACAAGCGAGGGTAAGTGAGCCAGGCGTCATGTCCTGAATGGCACCAATGCTGGCATTTTAGATTCCAAACATATGGTTCACACTATAGTTGGCCCAGTAACTGAAGAGGTTGTGAGTTGCTTCTTTTAAAGGATGTGCTTACGGCGTCTGAGAAAGTGAAGCAGCGTGAAGACGCTTTCCCCTGCCATGCATTGCGACTCACGGGGTCAGAAAGAAATCATTCTATCCCGAGTTTAATCACACTACAGTGAGAATACAAGAAATGAAATTTGAATATTTGTGTTAGCATTCTATAACCTAACAGCTGTGTCTAAGGCGAAATGAATAAAAAGCTAGATAAGAATAGGAAAGTGACATAGAGTTTGTAATCATTTGCTAAGAAAGGCTTATGCATGTACTTAAATGTACTGCTTGCAAAATGCTGGCCCCAAATCACTGCTGGCAATTACTTTTCTGCACGGTCAACTGGCTGAGGGAGTGACAGTAAGCATTCTCCCGTTTGCATACAGTATTCATTTTCCTTTCCCTTAATCTGTGCTCCAATGGCTGTTTCAGATGACATCAGCATGCCAACCAAGTGTGCCCCACTGTCCAAGCACTGTGAGGTAAACAAATAGAGCGAGGCTAGGGCTACTGATTGGAAAAATAAGGAAAGCATTCTTCATTTAAGACCTTGGAAGGATATAGTGAATCTCAGATTCTACCGTGTCTGCGTGAACAAGGAGAGAGAACAGAAGACAAGGTGGTAGGGTCTCAGGGACATTTACTTTCCAGTGTCCAGCCCATGCATGGTTAAAAGGGAAGTCAAATAGGTTATAATGTTCAGGAGGGTGGAAGAACAAGGAAGCACCTGATTTCAAAATCAGCTTCTTTGACTGACACAGGGTTCTAAGTCAGGCCTCGATGATAGAATCCACTGATTAGAGTTCTCCCTTTTCACCTTCTGCCTCCTCCACAATTTGTTTCTGGATTGCTTACTGCTGGTTTTGTGAGGTTGGGCTCAAATGTGAACCTGACTGGCCGTGTGCCACAACATGAGTCCCTCATACTCTGTTCTAACACACATACACATACACATCTGCAAACTGTCAGATCACCCATGAGAACAGACTTCAACAAAGTCTGTTCTTCCCAGTGTCTACAAAATATCCAGCCTATTTCCTGGCTTTATCTTGAGAGGGCGTCAGATCCACTTGGAAACTGGGAACAAGATGTAGAGTAGGTTACAGCGAGTAACTCTTTGTTTTTGTGCTTTGGCTATTCTCATCTCTTACAACAGAGCTGTAGTTTCATGATTGCAGCTATCACACCCTTTCCCAAATCATTCATAACATGAAGTAGCTTCAGCTTCCGACAAATAAATGGCTTGAGCAAGAGACGGTCTCCATTTTTTGAAATTTGAAGGCTGGGTGCTTGTGCCTATGTGTGTGAGTATTTGTGAGTGTGCAACACTATAGTGCCTATGGTAGTCACACTGTGAAAGGCACAGGAAATATTTATTGAAAGTCTTTTGAATTATTGAAACTCATTTCTGACTACCTTCTGTGAAACTAGCATTATTCTCTTGCAGGTATGCAGCCATAAGGCAACTGGATAGGCTCTTGATGTGCAACTGAGGATTCCTGTAATGGTTATTTATTAACTATAACGTTTTCAGGTGTGCACCTCAAAGCTTTTGATTACAGTAACCACAGATTGAGAGTAATAATTATACACTGCACAGAGATGGCTAATACTGAATGTACTTAATAACATGTGCTCACACATTAGCTCAAAAGCAAGCTACCCTTGGGGTGAGCTGAGCCTGCTGGCTAAGTGTACTGCTTCTTTCAGGCCAGCAGGGTTCTAATGGGACAAAGTTAGGACATAATTTCTTGCATGCAACCAGAAGAGGTCTCAGATTTCAAGGGCAAACATCCTAGCTAGAAATAGACTGGTCACCAGAAATTAAATTTGGGTGATAAAGGGAAATGGTTTTCTTCAAAAAAAGGAAGAGAGAAGCTGGCACAGGTCACCTCAGAAATATTTCTCCATGACACCCCAAAGGAACATGTTCCTTGGAGATAGATACAGTTCTGATGGACTGCAAGGAAAAGGATTCCCTGAAAGATGTCAGACACTTGCCAAGTCCCACAAACAATTAGCTGCAATCATGTCATCAGTCATCTCCAAACGTGATCCCACCTAGGCTCATAAAACTACTACTTAATGATTTTGTCAGGCAACTCCCCTGAGGGGATTTCTGCCTGAAGAAAGCAGAGGAAAATGGACAGATGTTAAGACTTGTCCTAGTTAAGGGACTGAAATAAGAAGGAAAAGACAATTAGCACGTATAATGAGTGCCTTGGAAATTTGCCTTATTCAGGGCCCTGCATTTTCTCCTTTTAAGACGACTAACACCATATTGTCAGTTTGCTTTCCAAGGAGCATCGGCAGAAATTCTTCATTATATGTTTTCTTTTTAATCATTTGTTTTCCTTTGTGAACTA